AAACTTTCTAGATTACATTAGAATATATTATCTTCTAGATAGCTTTATATTGTTCTTTACATATACATGCTTCTAGAACTTTCCAGAATATTCTAGAGTTTTTTTCTTGAAGCTTGCTTCTGTTAGCATATTTTTGGAATTATATAGAACCTTGTAGAATTCCTTGGAATATTCTCATTCTTTCTAATTTTTTCTAGAATGTCGTTGAATCTTCTAGAGTCCCTTGGATTGTTCACTACGTTATGTTCTTCTCTAGAATCTTCATTTCCCAAGGTTAGATTAAAGAGAAGTAAGCAGGAGGAGAAACCTTAGTTTTTACGTGTAAAACCTTAGGAAGGGAAAAACCACAAGACTTTGCTCAGTTAAAATAGTCCACTATGAATGACTAGTGCATAGATCTACTTTTCTCTTGAATTAGGAAATATAGAGTTACAGAGTCGATCATGGTAGATATACAAAAATAGGTCATTGTTAATAGTCAGTCTTGTTGTAATAAATGTAAAACTCAATGAGAACATGTTACAAAAGTTGTAGTCGATTACTATGGGGACAAAAGTTGTCGTGAATCTTGTAGAAGGTGGATATTTACCTTTGGTATAGGTCGTAGCTAAATGTCATATTAGTAGTTGGTCTTATAGCCTAAATGGTTAATTTAAGAGCATCAGTTGGCCACATGGGCCAGAGTTGAGAGTAGCAACTATGAGCCGCATTTACATAGGTTATAACAGTGAGTTATGATAACGTCTGCAGGCCGCAGAGGCTGGATTTGGGAACTACACAAGTTGTGGACCATGTAGATTGTAGTGGGTCACTTAGGCCTTAGTGGTGAGTTGTGATGACATTTGTAGACCACAAAGGTTGGATTCAGGAGCTACACAAGCTGTGGCCCTCATAGGTCATAGTTGGTCATGTAGATCATAATAGTGAGTTGTGATGGCATTCATAAATTGCATGAGCCAAATTCAAGAGCTACAAGAGTTGTAAACCATGTAGGTTGTAATGCCGAACTATGATGATGTTTGTAAGCTGCATCGACTAGAATCTGGAGTTGCGTGAGTTGTGGACTATGTAGGCATTGTTGGTCATGTAGGATGCAGTGGTGAGTTGTGATGATGTTCGTAGGCCGCAGGGATCAGATTCCTTAGGTGCATAAGCTGTGGAGCTCGCAGGTTGTAATAGCGACCTATTACGACACATGTCGGCCATAGACGCCTGAGACAGGAGCTACATGAGTTGTTGACCACTTAGGTCATAGTTGGTTGTATAGATTGTAGTGTTGAGTTGTTATGACGTCTGTAGGCTGTAATGACCAGAGTTGGGAGCTGCATGAGTTATGGATCATATGGGTTATAGTTGCTCATATGGGTCGTAGTGATCAGATGTGATGTTCATAGGATCCAAAAGGTCGAAGTCAGGAGCTGCACAAGTTGTTCACCAATTAGGCCATCGTTCTGAGTTGTGATGATGCTTGTAGGCTGTAGAGGCTAAAGTTGCAAGCCACAAGAGCCTGAGTTGGAAGTTGCAGGAGTTGCAGGCCACATAGGCCGTAGTTGGCCATTATGACTATAGTGATGAGATGTGATAATGTTCGTTGGCCATAAGGGTCGGAGTCATGAGCTACATAAATTGTGGATCGTGTAAGTCATAGCTGGTCACATAAGCCGTAGTGTTGAGTTGAGATGACGTTTGTAGGTCGTAGAGGCTGCAGCGAGGAGCTGCACGAGCTATGAACCACTTATGTTGTAGATGATCACGTAGGCCACAATAGTGAATTATGATGACCTCCTTAGACTGCATGGGCAAAGTCAAAAGTTGCATGAGCTATGGACCACATTGGTGTATTTAGTCATGTAGACCATTGTGATGAGCTACACGGAGAGACTTTTAGAAGCCTAAAAAATTCATTATCTTTGGGGTCTCCGGGGAGCAATGTTGTACGTCTTTGGAAGGCATAATTGCACAGTATGTGCCTGCGTTATTACATCGTCATCGGTAGGGGTGTAAACGAGCCGAGACGAGCGAGCCATGCTCAGCTCGTCTCATGTTCGGCTCATTTATATTTCTAGCTCAAAAAGTGTGTTCGTGTTTGACTCGTTTGCTTAACGAGTCGAACGAACACGAGCTGTTGTTCACGAACAAAGAGTCCTTTTAACAACCTTAATCATGTAGTCATAAGACAATAAAAGTTTGAACAAGATTTAAAAAATTATTATTTATATTAAAACAACATTTGAATCTAATTTAATAATTTTTATTCTATTTTCTTAATCAATATTTTAATTCTCGATGGTGATAAGTGGCTCGTTAACTGAGCACGATGAGCTAACAAGCCAAGCTCAAGCCAGCCCCAACTCGACTCGTTAGCTCGTGAGCTGGCTAGTTTAAGAAAATATTAATATAACCAATACTTCATCTTTAAGGTATTAAAATGTAAGAAAATAATATTTTGTATTGTACATTACATGATTTATTATTATTTATCTCCTATTATTCATTCTATCTGTCATCTTATTATAAATCTAGCTTAAATTAATATAATTTTCTCTCTTATATATTAAACAAGCTAACTCTCGAGTTGACTCAAACTCATAGACTTAAGATCGAACTCGATAAAATAAATAAAGCTCAAGCTCAAGCCGAAGGTGGCTCAAGCTCGACTTAACTCATCTACACCCCAAGTTTGTAGATTTGGAATGCATTTGACCTTCCAATTATGTATTGAAAGCTTCCAAAAGCAGTTTAACGAGTTGATTTAGGCTTCATTCGATTCAAATTGGACCAATTTTGGTATTGTTGCGCCTGCCTCATTGAGTTGGTTAGTTTAACCATAAGTTTGCTGAAATAGGATTTCTGGATGAATTTTAACAGATGTTTGAATGTTTCTTGTTCAAAAATTGCTTCAAAATTTGTGTCGTGGCTCGTGATTAATGTCGGATGATGAAAGTGGTCATATTGATTGTTTAATCTGATTTTTAAAATATGAATAAAACTACTTGATTTAAATATTTTAAATGTTTTTAATGGTCAGATTTGTTTTATTTAATAGATTAAATTTTTCTGTATGCTTTTGAAGTTTTTTGTGTGGATCTTATGATGAACAAGCCATTCTTCTTGTTTTGAAAAAAATGTGCCTAAGTGAAAATCACTTTGAAGAGTTTTAGCTGCTGTGGAGACGTTGTGTATCTGTTTGTTTTGTGTAGTTGTGCAGTTATTGTACTGCAACTGTTTATGAATTAATAACATTTTTGCTTCTATAGTATTGTGTTGTTTATAACAAAATCAGTTCTGATTGCACATTTCATTCATGAGAACAACAATCCAGTTTAAACATTATATAGAAGCAACTGACACCTCATTATATAGTAAATAATACAACGATCAAAATTAAAAGTAAAAATATTAAACTAACAATTAATATTATCATAATATTGTTTTTAAAATGCTGAATATTAATGTCACGAGATAATCCTCCCAATGAAACTCTTGGCGGTGGAATCATAGAACTTTTCCGCCCATAGCACCCATACACCACCACACATAGAACCTACACACCACCAACACACTACCACACAGCACATACACACCACCTATGTACACACAACACCACCACCACACCAGCATACCAAAACAACACCATCTCAACAACAACAAACCATCGTACAAAGCTTCCATGAGCATTTTTGAAACCTTCTAACACGTGCACATCACCTCCACAAAATTCCAAGGCTCCCCATGCCCTTCAAATGCCTCCAACTTGCCCATTCCAACAAGTGAAATGTTGACCCATTTCTTCTAAAACTATCTACAAAAAACATTGAGTAATTCTTCATAAACCCAAGGCCAATTCAATGTCTCTATTCTATCAATTTTCAAAAGCCAAAAATTTCATTTTTTTTTTTTTGGTTTTACATCAAAACCGCACATCCGAGAAAGAGAGCAAACCACCAAAACCAACAAAAACAAAAAATAGAGAGGCCATAAACCAGAAAGACATTTTCGGCCTCCAAAATCCACCGATAGCCCAAAAATCGAATGCCAGATGTCATAGATTCCAATTCCAACCATTCCAGGGCTCTCGAAATCAAAATTTATTTATTCCATGGGCCACGGACAGAAAAAGCAAGTCACAAAAGATCCTAAAGCCATAAATTGAGTAGAGCAAGAAGCCCAAACAACTAAAAAGAATGATAGAGGATACCAAAATCCAAATTTCATCATCCTGATAGTATAATATCAATTTCACAGTGCAAAGCCATAAAACGTCTTCAGAAAGCCACACATTCCAAATCAACCATAAATTACAGAAAAAAATAATAGAAGATACCATGAGAGAGGGAGGGATGAGCACTTCTTACGACACAGACAGGAGAGGGGAGATGACCTTAGGGCAGAGACATGTGAAAGACAGTAGAGACGTAAGAGAAACAGCTTGATAGAGGTAGAAGGGCGACATACTCAAAGACGCAAAGGAGTAAGCACAGAGACACGAAGAAACTAAGACAAAAGAGGGGGGGGGGGGGGGGGTAGGGGGAGGGGGGGGGGGGTTATAGAGGAGAAAAACGAAATAAGAAATATGGGCCGCAGGGTCGTGGACAGCAGGTAAGCCCGCAACCCGCGTTTACACCCGCTTCATCAACAAAGCTGCAACACAATTGTTTCCAAATGACGTAATTAGCGATTTGAAACAGCAGTGCACCAGAATTTTCACGCCAAATAGAAAAATTATTGCATCTGGAGTTCTGATACAATTTTGTATCAGAACTTACCATGTGTACAGACATACCCACCTTAGTAAAAAAAATTAATTTATTACATGGGAGAGTCTGTCTGTACATGTGGCAGACTCTGATTAGGGTCATGATAAAAAACTATATTAGGACTGTTGACATAATAATTTTTCGGCCAAATGACCCTTAATGCTTTGGGATTTATATGTGTATAAATAATAAAATATAGTTATAAGATATGTAAATTGAATAATTCTGAGCGTCACACCCAAATCCCCAAATGCATCAAGGTAGCCAGCTCAAATCTACTAGCGAGTTGGATCGGAGTCGGGTTCTCAGTATCATTTTTTGTGTTTCTCGATTCTCCTTCGAGAGGCGGAGATTAGCATAGAATCAAACGACGAAGAGGGGAAGAGGAAGAGGGGAAGTGCTCTAGGGCTCATAATCTGACGAAAGTCATGAAGAATATGAAGCGATCTTGCGGAATCTGGGAGGTTTTCTCTTTTCTCTTACTCCTCGCAAGCTGGCCTCGTCGCCTCTCCGCCCTCTCTGTCACGGTCACCGATACGGAGTGCGTGTACGACTTCGTTCAATTCGATGGCGATATTGTTTCCGGCAACTTCGTGGTCGTCGACCATGATATTTTCTGGGGCTCTGACCATCCGGGCCTCGATCTAACGGTGAGCACCTGTTTTTTCTTAAATTCTGTTTTTGTTAGGCTTTTATTTCTTTTCTACTCTATTTGTGGAGTGAAATTCGGCTCATTGGACGATTTTTATTGCTTCATTTGGTTATTTCCTGTCGATTTAATGGGAGAGTTTTTTTTTTTGTCCTGTGAATTGATGTAATTCCTGGTAGAAAAGCGGATTTATTGGATGTGCAGTTATTTGTTATCGTAAAATAGTTGCTTGATTGAAAGTTTTGATTTATTTCCTGATTTTAGAGACTGTTGAAGTAACATCTGATTTCATGAGATTGGTGTTAATTTTTTGTTCTCTTCCCGACTTATTCCCGCAGTGTTTCAAGGCATTCACCGCGCAAATGACTAATCAGTAGAGTATTATGCATTTTAACCTCGCCTAAATGTGTTATTTTATCGTTCTCAGTTGGCTGATTTAATATCTGTACTTTTTTCATGTCCTTTTTTTTTGAAATATTTAAGAAGGGAAATTTTTAATCATGCAAGTAAGATCAATACTATCAAATCTTCCATTGCCGAGGAATAAAATATTTGTTGCACAAAGTTATTATGATACAAAATCAAATATACTGTCGGAAAACTAGCTTAAGAACAGAGATTAAACCTCTACCTCCCTTTTGTGCAGCATTCACCATCGTTGTTGTTCCTGAGCTGGCTTCATGAGATTCATTCCTACTATACACAATAGAAAAATCAAATAAACATTCAACATAAAAGCTTCACTTTATGAAAACCAAATAGAAACAACAACAACAACAAGCCTTTATCGCACTAAGTGGGATATGCCTATGCACCTATAATGGCACTTGTTCCTATTATGTTATAGAAAAGGCTGAAGGCTCTTTCCATTTATCTCTTATTTCTCTAGTATGAAGTCTTTTAGAAATAATGAAACCAATAATTCCGCACAAAGGATTAAAATAATAAAATATAATAATGGTCACAATAACAAATAGCAATAGCAATAAAATATAAATAACTATGCGGAATCATTATTTTCAATCATGATAAATGGTTTTAGATTGAAGATCGATGGAATAACTTGAATCAAAGTCCTTAAATAATCCTTTATAATCATTATGTATGATTGGAGTGTATTGGGTTTAACTGCGAGCCAACAATTTTATGTTCATGGATTTAACTTGGATTTTTATGACAGTTATTAAATATTAATGATTAGCCTAAATCCATATCCATGGCCTCATAATTACTCTTATTTTGATGTCTAGTGATGAAATGAACCCGGTGAAAATTACGCCTTTGGCTCATTGAGTGTTAAGCTCAATCTAATTGTCACGCAAATTATGGCACATCACCATTGTGTGAGATTGGAGTTGAACTCCTAATAATTCATGCTCATCTATTTGAAGTTGTTCAAAAGATGATGAAGGTGTTGACTTAGCACTAATGACCTCCATATGGGTTTAAACCCACCCTCTTTGGTGGATGTCTTATAGCTTAAGGTTCACTAATGCAAACCTACTGAAATGCTCGAGGAAATAGGCAAATGATTAAAATTCTTAGCTTTAAAACTTTCAGTTTAGGTAAAGTGCAAAAGCTCAAATAGTCCCTCAATTTTCAACAAATGACCAATTTAATCCCGGATATTAGGAGCGCTTCATTTTAGTCACAGGCTATTGAAAATTGATCTAAATTCATCCCTAGCCTGAATTTCATGGTTGATGTTAGCACCAACCATTAACTTTGAGGGTATTTTAGAGAGAATATATTATTACTCTATTTTCATAGGTAGTTTTTAACATGTGTTGTACTTTTTAATTAATTAATTATTAAACAGTTACTTAAACATTTATCTTATTATAACTAATTTGATAACAAATTAATTAATTATTAGTTATTAATCAATTAAATTAATGAAAATTAACTTCAGTAAAACTAAATTAAAGCCACAAAGCCATCTCCACTTTCCCATCTTCTACTCAAAACCACCACCTACGTCCTTTCCCACTCTCCCAATTTTGCCCAAAATCTTCGCCTTCTTGACTGAATCCTCATGATACAGGCGCGATTAAAGCTAGATGGAAAGACAACGATGGGATTGAGACATACGAAGACCTCCAAAACTTCCATTTTTCTCTTTTTTTCACTCCGCTCCTACCCAAAACCATTAAGGAAGGTAACCCTTGTCTTTCTCTCCTTCGTCTCACATGCATTCGTGTGCAACAACTTCTCTAAATCTTATAAATCCGTCTTCTAACTGGATTTGCGAAATCCTGGATTTAAGGCAAAACAGAGGAAAACAAGATTTAAGAACCTGCAATCAAACAACCTCTAAATTCTACAAAAAAATGAAATCTCGTTTTTCCTTTGTTTTGCCTTAAATCTGATCAAAGCCAAAGAATGCGATGGTGTGGAGAGAAATTCATTATTACCTGCTCCTTTTTCGACGAATGTCTCCTCTCCTTCATAAACTTATAGTCCCGCCAAGGCTGCTCTGGTTGGCTCCGGTTGCGGCTTCGCCAGGTTGAAACGATACTGGTTGAGGTGTGGTTCCATCATAGTTATTGAAGGTCTTTGTTAAGTAGCAATCGAACAGATGAATCAGGGAAGATGCACAACAATGACCCCAATAGCGATGAAGCAACCAATGCACACAAGTGTAAGAGATGGAGCAATGAAGGTCTAGGGCTACAAAGTGACGAAGCAGCAAGTTGGAATCGTTTTTCGTAGATATAAGTTTTTAATTTGAACAATTTGCTCTCAAATTTTTCCGTAACACCGTTAAATTAAACTATAAATTTAATTTAGGACTAATTTGGATCAATTCTCCAGTGCACATTAAAATTCCGGGACTAAGTTAGTCACTTGCTGTAAGTCAAGGACTATTTTGGGCTTTTACTCTTTAGGTAATTATTAGTTTTTTTTCATGCAAATTTATAAAAAAGTGCTTCATTCGTTCCAAATAAAACTAAAAAATCATCAAAATCTTAAGTGATGTTCCACAATAAATCTAAGAATGAATTTTAAGTTTCATTGTCACACCAAAAAGGTGAAAGTTAGCATATAATGAACTTGAAAATCTCAATCAGACGCACAAAATTTATTGCAAAGCATGCTATTGAAAAGAAAAAATATTTTATTCAACAAAGACCCAAGCCTCATGCCAGTTCAAAACGAAGCATTTTCTTGAAAATTATCTTTAAACATTGCAACCTGATTGAAGATTCTACATTCAACAACATACATAAGTATTGAGATAAAGATAAAATTTTATTCGAACATTAGGGACTGAAATTAAAAAATTATAATTTCTCAAAATTCTCTAAAATCTAATCAAATATTGAAATTTCAATTTTAAAAAACTTGGATTCCTACAGGAACATTGGTAAGACTAATAAAAGCCAATAATTTTTTCATCACATTTATTCTCATGTTCTTTCTTTTGATGTACTTTAGTGAAATCATGTTTGTGAAGTCGAGCTAGAAGTAAACCTAGAATTTATGAAATTACTTTTTAAGATGTTGTTCACAACTTAAGCATTGGATTGACAAAGCATGAAAACTTTTATTTTATGGTTCATGAGAACGTTAGGCAATACCGGAATTAACTGGAATCCTATAGGAAAAACATAATTTAATTACTTAAGCAGCAACGGATTACAATTAAGACTCAAAACAACATAGAAAATCAGCAACACACTAACATCCTGCTAGGGTTGGATAGCACAATCCTTGGACGGTGGGGAGGAGATGTGGGGGAATTGGTGGTGGTAACAGGAAGGGGGTTTTGAAGGCAGGGTTCGGTGGAGGTCGGAAGGATGTAGAGGGTTGTGGTAGAATCTGGAAGAGGAGGGGCCTAGGGGTGAGTGGCTCAACACAATTGCTGGGATGGGGTTGCGGCATGCAGGGCAAGAAGGTGGTTGTGGAGTTTGCAGCGACGACAGGTAGGAGGCCTTGGGTTTGGCAGCTAGAACAGGGAAAGAAGGGTGAGAGATGAAGGCAACGAGCAGGGGAGGGGAAAGTGTGTGAGAGTAGGTCGAGATAGTCACCACTTTAGAGCAGGATACAGTCGGAGCACCATCTGTCCTCGGATACAACCCTAGCTTGGAAAAACACCAGTGACGAGAAATTTGAAATAAAAAAAGAACTAAACCCTTAAATAGACACGCATCATATATATATATAATAGTAGGTAGAATAGGAGGGGCAGGAAGGGCCGGTCGTCGGCCAGCCCATCCTCCCTGCTGAACCGACACCTCCTTTCTGCGCTGAACCGACACCTCCTTTCTGAATTGTTTGAGTTGGTTCAGCCCAAGCCCCCGCGTCATTAGGTTCAGTCTCAAAACAAATAGCTCAAGAATATGCTTTTGTAGTTAACACTATTTCTAAGTGAATTTTCCTTATGTTTGATCATGTATTAGACATCTTTAGTCAAAGAAATATGATTAATATAGATAATGATAGAAGAAAGGTGTCCATTGCTTTTACAACATTTACTAACTTTCTACCTCGTTGAGTACTTGCAAACATTTTCAAGAGTTTTATATGTTACCATGCACAACATCATCATCATCATTAGTCTTATCCCAATTATTTGGGGGCAGCTGTTACTAATTCTCATTTTCATACATTCCTATTGAGTGAAGTTCGATGTCTATTTACAAATTATGCTATACACATTCTGTCTCTATAAATTTAGGCATTGTCCTTTACTTTCTGAGCCTCTATAACCAATTTTTCCAACTCGTTTAATAGTCACATCTCTAGTTATTTGGCTTACCAGGCACAATATAAAGCATGAAAATCAATTTTGTATGATTTTAGGTGCTATTGGAATGACTTATAACTCATTTGAGCTTGGGGAAAAAATAAAACATTAGTGTTCATTATGTGTTCAAAAGACAAGAAACTAGTGTTGTTTTTTATGTTAACTCCAAAAATGGGCATTTTAGTGCTTCTAGAAATGCTATAGATTTAGTAAGATTGGATGTATGTCAGCGTTGTAAAGAAGATCTAACAAGCTTTCATAACTATTCATAGATGGCTTGAGTTTTATCATTTTAATTTCTTCCCATTCCATCTTTGTGGGCTTTTTTCTCTCAACCTTTTTTTCACTTTGATGTTACTATTGTGTTCTTTATCTTTTAACCTGTTCATCTTTGTTCAAGATTTTTTTTTTCTTGCTCCTATATACACAATATAAATCTTGTAATTGAAAATGATATATTTATATATAGGCATTTTTAATGTCTCTTAATGTTATTGCAACTTGTTGTAGATATCATCACCGGCAGGGAATACAGTTCATTCAATACATGGATCTTCTGGAGAAAAATTTGAATTTAAGGCTCTTAAAGCTGGAATGTACAAATTCTGCTTTCATAATCCCAAATCAATTCCAGAAACAGTGTCATTTTACATCCATGTTGGGCACATTCCTAATGAACATGATCTGGCTAAAGATGGTGAGTATGTATTGATCCTTCATTTGCCTCTTGATTAGAAAATACGTGAAAATTTACAATGAAAAAAGGTTGATTTTGAAATCTTACTGTTACTAAGTTACAATAAGGAGGGGGAAATATTGGTAGATATTATGTCCATTATTCATTTCAAAGAGAAAAATTATTGGTATCTAAAGCTGAACTGTTGAATTATAAAATTTTATGTGAAAAAAGGAAAACATTGATGCTGTCTCGTATGATAGATTTTTGACATAAATATTAGTTCCTTTGAAAAATAATATGAAATCTAGATCCTTATAAAATAATCACGCCTAAACTCCAGTCCAGTGTTTAACTTACTTCTTTGCCATCGTTTATATTTTTATTCAGAGCATCTGAATCCAGTGAATGTGAAGATAGCAGAACTTCGGGAAGCATTAGAATCTGTCACAGCAGAGCAGAAATACCTTAAAGCTCGGGAATTACGTCATCGACGTAGTAAGAGATAGTTTTATTTTATTTTTTTAAGATGCTGCTTGATAAGATGGAAAATAATCATGCTAGAATATATTGCATCGTTATTAATGTTTTCTTCTTTTTATATCTCCATCATTATGAGCATCCACTTTCTGATTTTCTGTTCAAATAAAGATATTTTTTACTGCAGTTTTTTTAAACCAAAAACTGTTAATAATATGTGAGGATGTGAGGCATTTTGTCACTATACTATTTTGTCTAACTTGACGGGAAAAAGGATCACTAGAAGTTAACATCTTCTTTTTTAAAGCATATGAATGAACCTTATAAAATTTGCTACTGGTTGTACCAGTAAACACAAGCAAAAATTCAATATGTTTATAATTTATTTGAAGAAATGCATCAATGATAATTTGATCAATAATTTTTAAAGAAATGCAGAAACATGCACAAATGTGAACAATAACACTCTTTTGTACCTATCTTTCTCTTCCCCCTCCTTTTTAGTGCACCCACATTCTGTTTTCTATAAAAAATAAAATGATGATGTCAGACCTAAATTGTTTTTGTTGCAGGCTTTATAACTGTAGAAGGGTAAAAATAATATATAAATTGGTTTTTGGTATAATGCCTATAATCTTGGTTTTTAAATAATTCAATTTAAGTTGGTGCGTGGAATTCATTCATTGGAGATATAGTAAGGATTGCATGATTTCCTTGGTTAGTCATGCTCGTGAACTGGAATAAAGAAAAAGTCAGTCTAATTCTTAGTTTAGAAAGACCAGTCTTTTAAATAATGCTCTTTAATAGCCATATCGTTGCTATTCAATCCCTTTGCAATTAGCAACTCATAGTCTTGAAGGTCTATAGTCTAACATCTATTTGTGACCATATATCTTATTCTACGATAATTCCCTTAAGGTGTATATAAAAAGTCAAATACTTGTCAACTATTATGCATTTAAAAAATCCAAAAGATACTCAACAGAAAGGTGAAAACTAATCAAGGTAACTAGTTAATCAAGCGAGAGTATAATAATTCTCATGTCTTAAAGTTAATTGCGTTTTCATTAAAAAAAAGAAATTAGAAGGGGGCTTTTGTGCCCAGGATACCCTGTAGAGCACATTTGTCATGACCCGACCTGGGGCTTGAAATTAACTATGGCTGGAACAGACGATCGGACGGTAAAATTAAGTTTTCTATAATATAATTTCTTTCACTAATAATTTAATATCTAAATACTAATTGAAAAAACAACTAAAGAAAACAATTTAAAAAATAAAAGTTTAACTTTCAACTTGTTGGCCTCTTTTTCTCTACGTACTATTTCCTCTAGTATTCATCTCATTTAAAATCTTGAATCTAAAAAAATATCAAAAAAATGTTGCGAGTTATTACAAGAATCCAATGGAAAAAAATTAATATGTATGCTGGTTTTTTATATTTCACTATAGAAAGTTTTATAATAATCTAATTCATGCGTCCCTGACATTTACTTAGTATAAATAATTTAAATTTTGATATGCATTAACTTTAAATTTATTCTTCAATGTTTAATCATTTAACTTTATTGTACTTTATATTTTTAACTTTCACATTCGTCTCAGGAGCATAGTCAAAATATAACATAAGACACCCCTGGTCAATATTATCCCGTTGGCATAGTGATTCATGGCCTAAATTACATGATTATCTCAGGTAGAAAAGTGTCTACTTTCCCATGGCTGATATTTTCTCGTCAGCACAACGATTAACGATCTAAATGTCGTAATTGTTTGAGGTGATAGTAAAACATCTTTGCATACATTGACATCCCCCGTCTATACATTATTTCATTCTTCATAACATACATTTTCCTCTTATGAGATATTTTACATTTATCTTCAAATGAATAATACACTCTTGCTAAATTTATGGGTCATTAAATAAACTGATATATGCATTTGTACTAGAATTTACATGTCATGTAGTAATCTGACCTCTTAAGAAAACCATAATGCATTGTCCTCTTAAGAAAATTCTAGTGCATTTAGCTCTTCATAGAGAAACTATAATGCAACTATTTGTGCATAAATGCAGAATGATATGAAAAGTCAATTGTAACCTAACCTCAATGATACATAGCATAAAGTGTTAACAACTTAAATTTAAAATACATTTAAAAATAAAAAAATACTATTGTAGTTTAGAAATATAATTACTCATCAAAATTTAATTTGTTTTTCTTGTTCTCTTTGAAATTTTCTTTTTCTTCTAGCAATTTAACGTTACTGATTTTTTCAATTTTCATAAGTTCTCCAACACCCAGTTTCTAATAATAAATATTGCAATTAATAATAATATTAAATAACATTTATTTAAAATAATTACTTTTGGAAATATAATCCTAATATTTCTTTAATGTTGCAACTCTTCTCGTTTTCCAATCCACTATTACTTCCACTTAGGCTCTCAAAACTTATTTAATTGATTGGTTATATTCTCTCTTGCCTTTAATTGGATTCCTGCACATTTAATCAATGATTTAAATTGACAGAACTTAAAATTAATAACATTTTATATTAAATAAATCAAAATATTCTATATAATCAAAACATTAAAACTCATAACTCTTACCTCCTTTGTCACTGTCATTTATTTTTCCTATATCATAATTGCGGCTAGCCTTTCCCTTCTTCGTTCTGATTTCTAATAGCCCTAAAAATCCATATTAACACCTAACATAAGTTTAATTTAATACATTTAACAAATCTAATAAAAAGAACAAGACCAAACCCTTACCTTGGTTCCGTTCGACTGTCTTCTGCACAAATCAGCTGCCCGGTTTGTCTCTACGTGCAAGATAAAAGCCACACAAAACTTCTCTCTTCTCCCGCATGCTAGGGCTTCCTCTTCGTCAATCAGCTAGGGCATGAAACTCCCTTGATTGAAGTTTATGGGGCTCACAGCTTCAATTATGGGCACGTGATTCTTCAGCTGTCTCCTACTCACGACATCGCCAACATCACACGATAAGGGGAGTCACACCTTTCTCCTCTCCTCCTTCTTATTCCTCTTCTTTCCTTTTCTTCTTTCACAGACGTCCACACAACCCTATTCACCTGCAACGACGTCGATCCCTGGTTCTCACACATGCCACCACGTCTTCCCTTTCCCTAGACGCACGCAACGCGCCTCTCCATCTGCACACAGAGCCAAAAACAATATTGTCGACTTCTTGCCCTAGACACGAGTAATCCTCCTCTTTCTTTTTTCTTCCTCTTTGCTCAACTAAGGCATGGCTCCTTCATGCTGTCTTTCTCTCGTTGTTGCTCTTTTGTTTTGATTGTTGCGTCAAGGGAGAAAATCGTCTCCTCGTAATAGAACCATTGAGACGGTTACTTTTTTCAAGTTGGCTCTAATCAAATCTTTATTTTATTTTATTTTAATTTAATTAATTAATTTATTTTACAACGTTATTATACATTTGGCATCACTTTAGTTTTCTAATTTTGCTTTTATTTTTAATTTCTTTTTGGAAACATGTTTGATTAGTATAACACTATCATTGTTGGGTCTCAAGTCCCATATGCGAAAATGGAGGGTTGTGTTAGACAGTTGACAGTCAGCGTAAAATTTATCGAAAAGTCATGTCATGAATCCTTTAAAATATTGTGTAAATTACAGGGCATTCCTTGGAAACGACGCGATCTATGGTCTGAATACAATGAAAAATGTGCAAGTGCTGCTACATCGACGTCTGGGTGTAGTGTCAAATAAGCAAGAATTTTTATTTTATAGATGGATACGGGTAAACAAGTTAGTCAATGAAATTAATATCTGGATATGATTTTGGAATATAGATGCTTTCACTGATAAATTAATAGAATAAATAGCTATTATGGCTTATAGGAAGATAAATATTTTATGCATTCATGAAACTAAATGGGTTAGAGAAAAGACTAAGGAGATTGATAGTTTAGGTTTTAAATTTTGGTATTCAGATATGAGTCTCACTAGAAATGTTGCTGGTGTAATTATAAGTAAGAGTTTGAAAGATAATGTTTAAAAAATTAATAGAATTGGAGATATCACTATAGCTCTAAAGATTATTGTTGATACTAAGACTTTTATTGTTGTAAGTGTTTATGCTTCTCAAGTAGGTTCAGATATAGGTTCCAAAGAAAAGTTTGGAATGACCTAGAAGAATTAATACAAATAATACCTCTTAAAGAAAAATTTTTTATTGGAGGAGATTTAAATGAATATGCTGATAAAATGTGGAAGATTTTAGAAATATTTATGGTGACTACGATTTTTGAGTAATTAATGAAGAATGTGTAACCGCTTTATGGACAGATGCGAGTAAAAAATGTCCATGAAACTAATAGCGGGATAGGATCTTGGAATATAGATGCCCTCACAGGTGAATTAATAGAATTAATATATATTATGTTTCATAGAAAGATAAATATTTTATGCATTCAAGAAACTAAAAGTGTTAAAGAAAATGCTAAGGAGATTGATAATTTAGGTTTTAAACTTTGGTATTTAGGTATGAGTCACAATACAAATGGTGTAGGTGCAATTATAGATAAGAGTTTGAAAGATAATTTTGTAAAAAATAATAGAATTGAAGATAAAATTATAGCTCTAAAGATGGTTGTTGATACTGAAATTTTTAATGTTGTAAGTGTTTATGCTTCTCAAGTAGGTTTAGATATATGTTCAAAAGAAAACTTTTGAAATAACCTAGAAGAATTAATATAAATGATACCTATTGCAAAAAATATTTTTATTAGAGGAGATTTAAATGGACATGTTGGTAAAGTGTAGAAGATTTTAGAAATATTTATGTTAGCTACGGTTTTTGAGTGATTAATGAAGAATGTACAACCACATTAGATTTTGTTTTAGTTTGCGATTTTGTTATTATTAATACTTTATTTAAGAAAAGAGATTAACATATTATTACCTATAAAAATAAATATAATAAAACATAAATTAATTATTTTTTTATGAGAAAAATGGATCATCGAGAATGTAAAGATTGTAAGGCAATTCCAAGTGAACATTTAAGTACTTAACATCTACTTTTTGTTCTAGATTTTATGATGAAAGCTTGTAAGATAAAAAATATAATGAAATATTATCATAAAATTAGACGAGAAAAAGACACAGATAAAATTATTTTTATAAGTAAATTTCAGGATTTCAACATTTGAGATGCTCATGAAGATGCTAATTCTATGTGGGATAACGTTACAAGCACTGTTAAAATAAGTAGCAAAAGATGTACTTGGAGAATCAAAATGAAAATTTTTATAAATAAAAATTGTTGGTGGTGGAATAATAATATGCAAGATAAAATATAAGTTGTTGTTATAAAAGCTAGTTTAAATGTCAAAGCTTAAAGAACTGGAAAAAAAAATATAAGGTGGCCCGTAGGGAGTCTAGGAGCACAATTTGTAACGCTAAGAATTCTGCTTTTAGTGATTTTTATAATAGATTATATACTTAAGTGGGTGAAAAATATGTGTAAACTAGCCAAACAATGAAAAAAGAAAAGTAAAAAAAAATAATTCAAGTAAAGTGTATTAAAGATAAAAATCAAAAAGTGTTTTTCTTAGAAGAAGCTATTTAGCATAGGTGGAGCTATTGTGATAAACCTTTCAATGAAGTTTTTGAAAATACTATCCACCTTAATGATCTTAATCTCTTCAATAATAATAAAAGTTTTTATGTTTTCCATCACATTAGTAAAAAAGGAGTTTATGAGGCTTTAAAGAAAATCAAGGGTGGAAAGTCAGTTGGAGCTTATGATATTCCTATTGAAGTGTGGAAATATCTTGGAGGTTTATGAGTTTTTCGATTTACTAAACTCTTTAATATTATTTTAAAACCTAATAAGATGCCCGAGGAGTGGAGGAAGAGTAATTTGATCCACATTTTTAAGAATAAAGAGGATGCACAAGAGTGTGCAAATTATAAAGGAGTTAAGTTAATGTCATCTTTAAAATTATGGGAGAGGGTAATTGAACATAGGTTAAGACGTTAATTGAGAGTTTTGATGAAGGACATAGAGAGTAAAGAGGATCTACATGTGATTTTATTGATTTAGAAAAGAAGGCTTAAGATAAGGTTTTAAGAGAAGTTCTTTGGAGAGGTCTAGAAAAGAAAGGTGTTGATATGTCTTATATTCAAGTCATTAAAGATATGTATACTAAAGCTGTCACTTGTTTTCGAACAGGAGGAGGATTGACCAAGTATTTTCCTATTTTAGCTGGATTACATCAGGGATCTTCTTTAAACTCATATCTTTTTTGCTTAGTCATGGATGCTTTTACTGGAATATATAGGGGGATCTACCTTGGTGTATGCTTTTCGCCGATAATACCCTTCTTATGGATAAAACTAGAGTTCTAGAAAAACTTCAATTATGTAGGTTTACATTGGAGTTTAAAGGTCTTCGTTTGAGTAGAATTAAAACTAAATACATGGAATGTACTTTTAGTGTACTTTTAGTAGTAGTAGCTCTGCTCTAGTGACAGAGTTGTAACTATGAGTGATCAGATCATTAGAAGGTGTGAACTTTTTGGATATGTCTGGTATGTTGTTCAAAGTGATGGTGATATAGATGAGGATGTTATTAGTAAACTTCAGGTTGGTTGGTTGAAGTGGAGGAATGCATCAAACCTATTGTATGATAGAAAAGTACGGCTTAGACTCAAAGGAAAATTTTATAAGATGGTGGTGAAACCTGCAATTCTTTATGACACAGAATGTTGGCCTTTAAAAGAGAAGCATAAAGCAAAGCTAAGTATTGCTGAGATGAAAATGCTTAGGTGGATGAGTGGCTTGAAACTTAGAAACAAAATGTGAAATGAATATATTCGTGAAAGGGTTGGTGTAGCTCTAGTTGTAGACAAGATTAGAGAGAGTCGTTTAAACGTCGAGCATCTTATGATCCAGTTAGGAGAGTAAATGTTTTAGATTCAACTTATGTTAAGAAAGGCAGAGGTTGACCTAAAAAGACTTGGGCCTATTGTATAAAAAATGATCTTAATCAATTAGAATTAAATGAAACTATGACACTCAATAAGACAATGGAGAAAAAGCATTCATGTATCCGACCCCACTTAGTGGGATAAAAGCTTGTTCTTATTGTTTGATTAGTATAGCTTTTATTTTCTGATTTTAATAATAAATTAATTTATCTTTAAAAATGCTCAATATATCTAAAAGGTATTTAGAGTGTTTTTAAAAATAACTATCGCAACCAAACAGATTTTAATTCAAATCATAATACAAATAATGTAAAAAATAAAATAAAATAAAATAAAAAATAAAAGTGATTCCAAATAACCCCTAAGCTTTTGCCTGTAGCGAAGTTTACTTACCCACCTTTGTTCTTTCCAACCGAGGACCTTTGTTATGAGGTTTTCCAGATGCCAAGAAGTTGCAAATTTATTTAGGGAAAGTTGCCTAACTTAACAGCCTAATCATTAAGTCCTTCAAGAATCCTGTTGCAAGATAGCTTGTCATTTTGATTGCTTCAGTTGAAAGTTAAAAAATATAGGAGCAATTACATATGTAGCACTTGAAATATCTATTTACAAAACTAGCACATTCTTTCATCCAATTTTCATGTTCTCTCTCAAATATCAAAATTCACAATAAAATCTTAACCCCTATTTTTCACTTTTATCAAATTCGTAACGGTTTGTTTGTGACACACGTAAATGCATTAGACCGGTAGTTGAAAAAAATCACCTGCGTGCTAGTTTTGTAAATAGCAATTATTCTAGTGCCATGCATGTAATTATGTTTCGTACTCATTATATTGGAGAATGAGTTTAACGCATGTTTAATACCTTTTCATACATGATTTAGTTCCCATTATGATGTATAACAACATTAGGGACTTCGAGAGAAAAAACCAATGTTTCTGTAGTGTAAAATCATTATTTAAATGTGTCGTTTTGCACCATTTAATGGAATTTCGGCATGGATGATTATTCTTCAATTATAGTAGAACACAGTGGAGTACATTATTGAATACCGTTTGATATTAGAATATTTGTTGTTCTCTTCCAGACTACTTGCTCATGCAGCTCTATCATATTGCTTACCACATAAGGTTATTATGTTTGGGCCATTTACATTCATACCACTAAATTCTTATGTATTTACATTCTAACACCTAAACATTCATATTTACATGCATATTACTCAAATCTTTTACATCACATCTAAAATATCACTATCACCACTTTTTTTTGGTGGAATGCACATTTTCATGTATAGTTTTATGACACCAATGTGTTATACATGTCAATATCAAACTTTGGGTGTTAGATATGTAAATACATAAGAATTGTGTGGTATGTATGTAAATTTCCCTATTTTTTTTAAAATCTGCAGATTAACGTGGTGAAACAAAATAAACGGTTCGTATGGTTCATGTCCATCTAATCAGATTTATGAAACTGATCTGGAAAATTGGCCATGTATTAGCCTGCAACCTGGAAAAAACATTGGGGCATTCATATATTTTTTATAACATTAAAAATGCCACTATTTTGACTTTTAAAATGTGAAACACGCATTTTCATGTGTAAGGTGACATGAAAAAATTGAAGTTTAGGTGTTAGATATGTAAATACATGTATGTAAATCTTCCAAAAACATCTTGCTTTCTACATGGTCACATTTTCCTTCAGCCAAGTACATTGAAAATGTCGTTACTCATTGTTTTAAATTATCTATTTTCTTCAGCAAATGAGAGCACAAGAAGGCGCATCATTGGCTACACCATTACCGAGTACATTGTCCTGGCTGCTGCAAGTTTTCTGCAGGTACTTTTTATCAGACGTCTTTTTAGCAAGACCGTGGCATACAATAGAATTTAGAATTACAACTTGGCCCTCACTTTTGATTGTCTAACAAGCTGTTTCTCTGCAACTTATTAAGGTTCAAGCTTTCTGTTCAGATTTTGTAAAGTTGATTTAATTTGGTTAGTACTTCATTGATGGTCTTTATCACTTGGGGCATTTACTTGCATACCACACAATTCTTACGTATTTACACATCTAACACCTAAACATTCATACTTACATGTATATCACTCAAATTTGTAACATCACATCGAAAATACCACCATCACTATCTTTTTAAAGATGAAATACACCTTTTGATGTATAGGTTTATGAAACCCAGGTGTTATAATAAGTATAGGTATCAAACTATGGATGTTGAATATTTAAGAATTGTTTGGTATGTATGTTAATTGCTCTTTTTCACTTTTGCATCATGAATGTTAAGTTTGTCTAAGTGTGGGACCTATTTAATGATTGAATTACATGATGAGAGATTCATGAGGACGTTGGCCTGGTTTTATTATTTGAAATGCGGGACTTTTGAATTGGAGTACGAGTAGATTTTGAGTTTTAAGTGTTGTGTGGTTTAATTTATCAAGAAAATGAGCCAAATTTTCTTTTGCTTATGCTTAGCTCATTTATGCATCAAGTTAAACACAAGTTGTTGGTGAACTTGAAGGGGCTATTTGAAAGTCTTGTATTTAAGAGAATATATATTATCATATATATGTTTATTAATATAAATAAATATATATGTATGTATACCAATAAAAAAGGCTTTAATGGGTTGGAGTATTTGTTAACAGGCTTTACAGGCTCTTGAAGCCCATACAATTTAAAACATATTTTTCAGTTGCCGAGGTAGACCCAATGTGATTGACTTGCCAAAGTGATTCGACAGCCTCACATGTCGAAGTACTAGCTTTTATGTACCCGCTGTCGAAGTTGGCCTGTCGACAATGTAATTTGTTAGCCTCACTTGTCAAAGTGTCATATGTTACCTCAATTATTTATCTCTGCGCATGAATTGCCCAACATCTGTTACATCACTGTCATTCACCGGTGTTATTCGTATTATATTATAACTATTTAATAGTTTTTCCTTGTAACCTGAAAGACGAGGGAGAAGACATCTGGGATCATGATAAATAAAGGCTTTCTCGTCTTCTTGAGAATCTTTTCTCATCAACTTATCTTGGCCCCCTCTCTCTCTCTCTATCTTTCTCTCATATCTTCCGATTCTTTTGAAGGATAGAGAGAGAACTTTTGAAGAATATGGCTATTCTCTTCTATCACATTCTTTCTTCACAAGTCTCTTCTGGGTTGTAAGAGCTCATGAATAATAGGGGACCCGTCGGCTTAAAAAGAATCAACATCCTGAAAGGTGCGGCGAGCATTGAGAATGAAAGAAAAAAAAAAAGAATGATGAATTGCAGCAGGACAACGGACTAATTCAAAATATGTGAAGGATGATACAACATGGGAATATACTTCTCGAAATCTCTTTAGAGCCACTCTAAGACACACATGATATCGTTAGGATCGATAACTCATAGATGAGAGCTACCAAGAGCAAGATTGAGAAGAGCTTTCTCCTTAAGGCTAGAGGAGGAAGATGAGTCATACGTTCTAGAGGAAGCGGCTCTTGAATGCTCAAAAGGAACAAACAAAAGGAGGAAGAAGCAAAAACCATTTAAGAATGCATTTTCAAGAGATAACAAAAATTGAAGTTCCAAGCAAGTTTAAGATTCTTTGGAATCTTATGAAGAAAAATCAGATCCAGTTGATCACGCAGCCTCATTTGAATTAGCAGTGTGCCTACTACTTGTAAACGATGTCCTAAATTGTTGTTTTTTCTTCATGACGTTGAAAGAATTAGCCTTACATTGGTTTAACAACTTAATGTACAAGTCATCACCTTCTTCACTAAGTTCAAGGGGGAAAAAACTCCCAAGCTCTTTTAAAGATCCGACAGGAGCCTTCAGAAAGCTTTGAGAAATTTCATCTCTAGATTTTAGTGGGAATCGATATAAGAGATCTGAAACTTGTCGTTGCTTTTGCATCACTAAGATGTTCCCTTGGTCTTCAAAACCATGAATTATGGTTGAACTCTTGAAATTGACCAACAACTACATTTTCGCTGAATATACAATTTTCTACTGAGTTCTTCTCGAACTCATTAGCCATAAGGCATTTTTCTTAGATGACATCCCACAGATCGTAGAGGTCAAAGGGATCAATCCACTCGAAGGGATGCTTGAAGCACCTTTGGGAGATGAAATCACCAATCATAGCAAGAATTGTTTGAACTTGAGTTGATTGTAAGAAGTTCGAAGAAAAGATCAAAGCCACTTTGATTCCCTCCATCAAAAGTTACTCCACTTAAAGCATTGATGAGTGAGATTGTTGAAGCCATCAATAACAAAGAATTCTTCAAAAAGCCCCTACCAATGCGGGTTGGAAGGAAGTCATTTGTGTGACTTAAACAAATATTGTGTCTATCACAAGAATTATGAGCATGATACAGAAAAGTGTTGACACTTCTGGAACTCGATTGAGGAGCTTACCTGAGCCACGAAATTAAAAGAGTTTGTGGCCCCAGACACAAACACCCATAGACAGTGCAAGGAACCTGTTGAAGACACGAGTAATGAGCCCATTCTAGTGAGAGTAGTTCACATAGCTAACGTAGTCCCATCTATCTGTGGAGGAGACATACCTGAAGCCTCATGACGATACAGTTTTGATCGTTTGAAGGCGAGAAGCTTATTCCACTAACCTCAACAGACCAATCATTCCAGTTTATCTACCTATTACCTTCACAGGCTCAATTTGCCCACTAGTAGAAATTCTTTCAATGAGGCCATTGTGGTCATCACATTGATCACAAATTACCAGATTGGGAGCATCCTGAAAGACACCTACAACTTTATTAATATTTTATTCAAGAAGGTTTTTGAAAAGATGAACATGGTAAATGTTCAACTAATACCCACTTCAGGCCCAATGTGTGGGTTCTTCGGAGAAAGGAATGAAACTATTGGAGTGACCTTTGTCGGTAACCTTGGGAGAAGGAGAAACACAATACAATGTCTTGGCATAATTTGTAATGGTGGATGCTCTGACCACCTATAATGCCATAATTTGCGGGCTGGTACTCAACACCTTCAAGGTCTAGAGGAACTCCATATTTATTTCAAATTTTGAATGTGCTACCTGCGAGCTATGGAGAACGCACTAGAGGAACTCCTCCAACTCAACACAAATAAAGGCAACAACTTAGAAGTCACTGAGACTGTACAACAAGTGCATATTTTTGAAGAAGGCATCAACAAAACCTTCCAAATTAGTTATGGCTTGAGCGGGAGCATAGGGACCAACTACTAGCTGTTTTGAGGGAACATCATGATTTATTCGTTTGGACAACATGCGAGATGTATGGAGTAAGCATAGACGTCGCCTATCATTGATTTAATTTCATTCCAGGAAGTAGGCCGATCAAGCAGACGATAAAATTTGTACCAACTACTTTGGCTGAGCTAATCCGATTGGAGGTCCAGAAACTATTTGAAGCGACATCAGAGAAGTGCAGTGCCTAGATTGATCGGCGACTGTTGTGATGGTTTGAAAAGACAACAATAAATAATGCGTGTGCATCAACTTCATTAATTTAAACTAACATGTTTTAAAGGCAACCATCCCTTTGCAACAGATAGATCCATTGGTTGACTCCGCAGTAGGGTTTTCATTCATCAGTTTTTTTGACGTGATATCAGGATACAATCAAATCAAAATGCATTCTATGGAAGAAAATGAAGTTGTTTTTATTATTAGGAAGGGGTTATATTGTTATGTAATGTCTTTTGGCTTTAAAAGTATCGGCATTGCTTATTGATACTCTTTTGATTAAAATTAGACCATGAATACATGCAAGACTTGAGAGAAACATTTGATACTTTAAGAAGGTTCAACCTCAAGTTTAATTCGTTGAGGTAGACATTTGGAACAACATCAAGAAAATTTCTCAAATACTTACTCCCAAAGAGATAAAGGCAAATTTAGAGAAAATCAAAGCAATCTTAGACTTGTCTTCTCCAAGGAAACCATGATTGGGCGGATTAGATCTAAACAAATTTATTTTCAAATATGGTGATCAATTTTCAACTTTCTTCAAGAATATCAAGAATTTCTATCACTTTGTCTGGACCGAGGAGTGCGAGCAGGCATTCCAACAACATAAAGCTTTACTATCGTTACCACCATTACTACGATGTGCGAAATCAAGAGAGAACTTATTCATTTACCTCAAAGTCAAGAAGGAAACAATAAGCTCGATATTAATTCGTGAAAAAGAACAAGAAGTAATTCCCTATAAACTGCATGAGCAAAATCTTTACATGGTGCCCGACTGAGATACATAATAGATAATGGAGGTTTGCGTTGACATTAATCATCTTGTGAGAATGTTACATCCTTATTTTCAAGCTTATCCAATTCATGTCATAACTAACTATACACTGAAGTGGGAATAACTAAACATGATCAATTTGAGAGTTTGTTTAAGGGTGTGTTTGAGGCGGTTGTTGCTTTTCCAAGAAGCAGCTGTAAAACTGCTTCAGTTGTTTCCTAGAGAAGCAGCTATTGATGGAGAAGTTGAAGTCCCTTTGAGAGATTTTTTGGTTGTTGCTATTTTTGATGAGGAAGTCTGTTTTGTCATTGTATATGTCATATATATGAATAGTTATAGTTTTCGGAATAATTATAATAAAATAACAGAAAGAGATTTACTACCAAAAAAAATATCAGTACAGTGCAAAATACTCTAATACATAAAAAATGACTAGTTATTTAAAACATATAACTATAATAATAAGGACAACCATAGTAACCAGCAAGTCTAGAATAACATTCGTCTTCAAGTCTCGACGATCAATTCTTCAGGACAATCTCCTCTCCATGGCAGCATCTCTCATCACTTGATCACTGTCTGGAGCAAAATTATCACTGTCATCAACCCACAAAAATATTCACAATCTTCGGAAATTGTGTTTCTAAGACAATAGTAAAATCTTCTCTTGTAGTTGTCTTTCCTTCTTAATTGGTATTAAACACACCTATCGCCACAATGACAAAGTGGAACTCTTGAAAA